GATAAGCACTCCGACGCAGAGGCTTCTCGAGATTGGCCTACATAACACGTACGCTGAACTGAAAGCAGCAACATTGATGTCTCAGTGCAACCGCCTCAGCCATACAATGTCGGGAAGAAAAATACTGTTGAGGGCGGGTATACCACTGAAACTTCAAAACTTGGATGAGGATCTGGCAGACATACCAGACCCAGTCCGACGACATATTTCGATCGCCCCTATCCCCAGGAACATGACGAAGAAGAGGCATCACGAAAAGCGAGAGGAGCGTGTAAACTGGATCAGAAAAATTGTCAGAGGCAATGAGAACGCGCTATACGTGGACGCTTTCAGGTATAACTGGAAGCGCTGCGTCGTCAAAATGGTAAACAGTGACACGACAAGCATAGCGTCCAGCGAATGACTGTACACTACATCGATCACCAAGGCCGAGTGTTTCGCCGTCGCCTTGGCGATTAAAAGTCGAGAACGCAGCGACGGCCAGACGTACATCACCATACTCTCAATTTCGCTAGAGGCGTGCCGGCTATTCACGAAAGGCCGCCTCCGAATAAACATTTGCAAATTTTTAGGCGGCGAATTGAGCAACACGTATTGGTTGTCTGGTGCCCTGGACATGCTGGCGCAGAGTGTAACGAGAGGGCGGACGCTCTAGCTCGAGCGCTCACAAACCGAGAGCTGCAGCCTTTGTCGCTGTTACCGCCACCCAGCAACGACGGTTTTCACGAGGAGTGAAAGCCATCGAGGAGGAGGACACGAGGAGGAGGAAAACAACCCGGCTCAGATGGCTCCGCGAGAGCTTCTTGCTCACCAGCGATGCACGCGGCCGAAATATGGCGCCCCCCACATATCTATTAAAGGGGAAGACGCCATAGAGCTCCGTAAAATTCAAACGGGAGTTTATCCAAATTTATTACGACTGCACAAAATTTATCCAACTTTGTACGGGCACGATTGTCCGTGGTGTCGCGACTCGCCACCGACCCTTTACCATATATCATGGAGTTGTGCTAGACGGCCAAATGAACTTGATTGCTTACAGCGTATGTATAGAATGGAAAACTCTTTGGAGCAATGGGAGGCCATCCTCGCTAGCTCGGACCCGGAAGTGCAACTAGCACTCCTGGACTACGTCGGCCAGGCGGCGCAAGCCAGCAGAGCCTTGGACAAGGACCGCACCTATCTAGCTCCTAAACCCATTCTTTTCAACCCAATAAAGTTACTTCTCTCTCTCTCTCTCTCTCTCTCGTCCTGGGCCGGCACAAAACACAAGCACGCGGCATGAGACACGATAGGCGAGCAGCGGCACTGGGGGTGTAGGGAGGGACAGTGTTACAAGGGCTAGTCAAATAGCTCCTTCGCATCTAAAAGACAGATTTTAGAAAAGAAGTTGGACGCTAGAAGCCAAAATTCCGGCTCACTCCTACTTTTTTCTATAGCCTGTCTTTTTCAAAATTTGCGCTTTTATGCATCCAATCGGTGTTAACCAACGTGGCCAACAATACCATCTCAAGGAAGATAAACGATGATCATGGAGGCTCACAGACTGGAATCCAAAGAAGGCAAGTGGGTGAACAAGACACACAAGCTTATGTGGGCAGATGAGATGAGGAACCTTCAGGGTATAAAGGAGCAGCAGCATGCACTGGACCGAACTGACTGGCGGAAAGATGTCTTTGTCCTGCAGTGTGTACAATCAGACTGATGATGATGATGATGACGAGGATGATGGATGTAAATTGATATGTGAGAGCTTGCACATGCTCTATTGGTGTGTGGCAGCCACTGCGCTGTATGACGTACATGCACACACGTTGACGCGTATAGTAGAACATCTTTATCATGGCGACTAATGTCCATATTCATAACTGTTGTGGTTGATGAAGCTTTCAACACTTCCCTGCGTACAGCATTCAGAGAACGCTGTGCAAAGGTGACATTAACAATCTCTTAAAAAGGTCGACATTATGCAGGAAGGGCGTTGCAATAAATTCGGTGGCTGCGATTTTAAATATATTAAAACGCACGGCAAGCAACACAAACCATGCAGCGTGCTGCTTCAGCTCTAACCACATACCAAGTGTGACAGCCTAATACTCAATTGTGCTGCCTAAACACTACGAAGGACGCACAAAACGAACGTAGAAGTATCCACAAAACAAGCGTGAGCTAAGAACTGTCTAGGAAGTTACTTCTTAATGATTTAGCAGCGCATTTTTCACTTTCAGCAAAAGGTGGCCGCCGCATTCAGTGAAGTCAAGTTTGTGTACTTTGCAGATTTTACAGAGCTGACAAGTACAGAAAAAATAAATTTTCAAGAAGCGGAAATTCTTATCTTAAAATACGTGCAAATATTTCATATTATATTAGAACAACTGAGGTAATTATAAAAGAAAGCCGCTCAAAATTACATGAATATTTTGTAGGCTGAATATATGATCAAGTATAAATGAAAGAAATATTTACTTTTATTGTTATAGAACTCATGAAGATACTCTAGAAGGGCTTTTAGAGTAGGTGTCAGCATCGCAATTGCGTCCTCTATATTGGCTAAAGGCTGATGCAGACCTGTGACTAGCAGTGGTCACGCGACCATTTTTGGCTGGCTACCAAAACGCGACAAATACTCACACCGGCAGCGGCTGCATGCGAGCGACCAGAAGTCACAAAAGCAGAGAATCACGTCCGGATCTCGTTATCAGCGAGAGCTCTAGAGACCAGCGCTGATCAGCTGATCACTGCCAGCTGAGTGAGCGAGCGAACCGGGCGCGCTACATTGATTGTTTTTGCACTTTCTAGCACAGCATCCCGAAGAGCGTGAAGTTCGATTCAAGCGAAGAACAAGACATTGTCATGTTGCTGATGCGCTGCACCATGGTGTCAGCGCTGGCATCACAGATGCCTCCAAAGAAAAAATGAGGGTAGTGGGTGTGACCGTCCTTTCAATCGCGAGAGTTGGCCGGCCATGCAAGCCGCCTGCTTCCCGAATTGCGCTGAGACGACGAGGAGTAATTCCGAGAGTCGTGCGTATACAGAAATTATCCTTAAAATAAATTGACTTGCCACAGTCTACAATACAGCACGAACACATCTCCAACGCGACGTCTTAAGTCATTGCCAAGGCATGAAACAAAAACGCGTTCCAAACGCGCTTTATTGAAGGCAGCGACATATCTAGTTCAAGACAATAAAACGGTTCTGAATACGGGAAAAGATAGTGCACAATTTATTTTCTCTTTACTTTCACGGTGTTTACCTTATTGCGAATACCGCCACGTATTTCGACACTTTGCTCAAGCTGCTGCATCCCGCCATCTCCAAGCCAAGTATTCCGTGGTGGCCATGGTGCTACAGACCCAGAGGAACGCACTTGTTTGTGTCTGGCGGAAGGAAGCCAGCGCAATAAAAAAACAAAAGGACAGAAATTGAGGATCGCTTATTGGTTCCAGCAGCTTTGCTACTGCAGTCGCGTGACAAAAAAAATGGTCAACAAGCGATTAGACACATGCGACTGTTTTCGAACAGTCGCAAATGGTCGCCCGACCACTGCTAGTCAACGGTGGGCACAAGCCTCAACTTTGCAAACACTTCTGCACGCACAATATGATCTTTCTGTGGGTTAGAGCGTGCAAGTGGGGACAGCAAAAGCGGCTGAAGCAGACTTCAAACAAGCAAACCATTAGTGTTTCTTGGCGGGCGCATTCGTTGGATTTCTTATCATCTGACTTCCAGTACAATGCTGAATATTCAAATAGGAAATGCCCCACCCTTTTTGAACAAGCATCAAGGGATGCAAAAGGGTGGCCTGGCTCTGCTACTTGTTGCCTAATATTTTGCGCTCAGCCACTTTGCCTCCCGACAAGCCGCTGTATCAAAAGTGCCGAGTTAAACACGAAGCCCGAGGGCGTCTCTACTAAGACGTCTCAGCTGTTGTGTTCCTAATTCAAGAGTCTCTAGAACACCCGAAAAGAGAAGAGTAGAGGGCACTAGATGACGCGCTTTTGTAGCTGGTAAGTTTTGTGAAGCTTTGCGACTTTTCAAATTGGCCCCACGTCCCTTGACTGGGCTTTCTATTTCACGTATGAGGTGTTGTCCACCTGCGGCGGTGCCTCGGTTAAGGTGCCAAGTTACTGGCGCGAAGGAGGAGCGATCAGTCACTGTGGTGCTGGTCGCATTTTGACGGAGGTGAAACGCTACAGGCCGCCTACTGCACGATATCACTGCACGTTAAAAAAATACCAGAAGGTTATTTTTTGCACAGCCTTACAATATTGCATGCATCATAAATATATAGTATGCTGAAACGTGAAAGACCAGATTTTATCATAAGCGATGCTTCAACTCTGACTAGACCAGCTTCTGTACTGAAAACATATGGACAGTGCATGTGTATACATGAAATAAAAAAGTTACGAGTGAAACATTTTCCTTTTGACAACAACTCCACCAATGTTCTCAGACAGCAAAGAGTACTCGAACTTAATTGAATGAGCCTGCACAGAGGACGATAACCTTTCAGATATGAAAGTACCATAACAAAAAGAGAACCACCGTTCTGCCAGGCTAGGTGAATTCAACCACTTCTACCTGCATAATGCACAGAAAAAACAATTATGACGTCTCAAACTGACATTTTCGGGCCCTGAAGAGTTCACTTTGGGTACCATCATCCATATCATACACCTAGGCTATTTCTAGATGATGCTCACATAATAGTACTGAGTCCGAAATTCCATTATCTTAGTGCGTTCGCTTTATCGGCCATCCTGAAGTGGCATAATTTCGACGGTGAAATTGGTTTACTCTATAAGCAGAGTAGGTTGAAGAACATCGGATGGTCAAAAGTTTCACGGTGTTCCTTATTATATTGTGATTCGAAGGTGGAAAACCTGTGGTATTGTATTATTTCAGTTGAGCAATTTTCACTCCATTTTCCTGGTTTCTTTATTATTGTGTTGGCTGTTGTTTTGTTACTAAAATTAGCACGTTCTGTTTTTTAGTGAATTCGAGCACAACACGTAACTGTGTGAACACCACCTGGATTCCTAAAGAATGCACAGGTGAGTTGGCCTTGGTGGCCGCACGAGCTAGAAGAACACATACCGGATCAACAAATCTACAATGCTGCGCAATGGAAAAAATGTTGCACAAAATCAAAAGACTGGAGATTCTGGTGTTTACAGCTGTAGGTACTAAGTAGCGGTGAGTGACATTATATAGTATTTATGGCCTCTGTTACACGACGGTATTTAAGCTTTTCAACCGATTGTATATTGACTGAACAGCAAAGCTACACGTTATACCGTAGAGTCTAAATTTACATCGAGTCAATAATAGATAGAGCCAAAAAGTGTCTCGCTCACTATTGCAGCAATGATGTAAGCCCGCGATAAAATAATGCTTCAGAAAAACGATGTAATATGAGACATTTTGAGGAAGCCATAAACCACTCGGTGATTATACTGAAAAAGAGTGAAAATTACATCGTATATTGTTACACATCATTGTACTTTAAATAGACAAAAATATTCGTTTGATGATAATCAATAATAATCACATGTAGACCTCCCTTGGTCTCCGTGTAAGGCACGCAGTATTGAAATAAAATAAATAAACAGTGAACACTATAATCACCGGAGAGTTGGAAGGGACAGGGGTTCATCCTCTCTTCCCCGCCTCATCCGGTAAAACTGCTACACTTTAAATAAAGTCTGTTCATTCATTCATTCATCCATTCATTAATTCAATCATTGTAGGCCTATAACTGAACTAACGGGATGGGATTAATATTCGCGCTGTTGTAATGTAGGTTTAATCACTGATCAATTCTGCCTCCAAATTTTCCTACACCAAGACCTGAAGTAGATTCACGCCAATAATAAAGCTGTGCAGTGACATTATGGAACTTCCTTGGAGGGCCTTCGCACACATTACAAGGCAATGCATTTAAGCACTCATTCGTATTTGACATAGTTATTTAGTAAATACTTTCTGACCAATGGTATAAAAAACTATGGATCATCTCCCCGACAAAAACGCCGATGAAATGCGAAGCAGCAGCAGTGCGCACGGTGTTAACCTGGTAGGACCGGGTGTCAACGCGGGTGTTGAAAGAGCAGTTTGAAGCGAAACTCAGTGTAGCGTTTACTAGAATAAACATTTGTTTGAAACGCAAATACACTGGAGGAGGAACTTGTTAAAGACACTTTCGCATGACTTCCTCGGCTCGCGTCTCGTCCGTGTTACCCGCACGCTGTCTCTATTCTCGAACGCGATCGGCGTTCTTGATTTGCACCTCATCAGTGTAGTTTGTATTCCACTGCCGACGCTTGTGTTCGGCTTCCCTGGCTCGCGCCTCGTCAGTGTTCCAGGCATGACGTCACCATTCACGAACACCTCACACGAAAAGCACGCTGCAAATATAGTGTACACAGTGCGAGCGCGGAGTTACAACGTTCGCACCTCAATACCTAAATCATGCTGTCTGAACAGAAAGAAAGTCGAAAGAAAAGAGCGCATTAGTATACACAGCATAAATGCCACTAAGAGTAACAATTCTTGCTGCGTCACGTGTCAGCAGTGCGCTCATTTTGTAAATGTGGCGGTGGCAGCGTCCGAAGTGACCTTCGTCCTCTGCCGAATTACAAGTCTGTTGAGCACGTGCGCAGAGTGATCGCGTTTCGAAGAAGTGGCGCTTCGTAGAGGTAACCTATGTGAAGGTAACCTTTAGAGCACCCCTAACGCGAATTTGCACGCCTTCACGGCGCACATAATGAAAACGCGATAATGTTTCTAAGCTACCAGGACTCTTCAGTGGTGTATGGTGTATATAAATGGTTTGCCGTTAGCCTTCCAGGCCACGTATGTTCTACGGGGTATTTCTTTCGCCGGCACTCACACGTGCCGGACGCAAGAATCATGGACTCCCGCGGAGCAGAGAAGGCGGTTCTTGGTGACCGCAGAAACAGGATTACAGGTGAAAGTGACAAGGATATTGAATCTTGCTGAATCCACGAACAGGTTGTATGGCTTTGAGCACAGTGTTCTTGCACGGTGATATTCTAATGAGGTGTTACAAGGTCGAAGATTTCCGGGATGCGCTAGCCAAAGAACGACGGCTTCCAGACGTAATAGCATTTGGCGCCTATCAGATTGTCATTATATTATGTTACCCGGCTCGGCTTGTTGGAGCAAACAGAAAGAACGCAAGAAAGTGGACACGGGGTGGCAAGAAAGCACTCATTTTCCTGATTGTGACAAATACAGCAAGATCACGAAGCATGATGACACCACTGACTTAATACTACGTCCCATTAGGGCAAGTTTGAACTTGTGTACCCTTTTCTAAGTCAGTACACATCAATATGCATGCTGAAATTGAGAGTAACAACTTTCGGTTGCGCGTACTCACTATTGTCGCTCACCAAGTTCGTCCTTCTAGTCCTTTGTGCTGGTGCCAACCGTCGTTCCGTGCATGACGCAAGGTGTTCGCCTGGCGTTCACTTGTTGCACTTACTGCAAATAGGCTCTCTTGCTGCACCTCAGGAGACCCTGGTACATACGCAAGGGTGGTGCAGACGGTTGGCTGCGATCCCGGGCTTGTTGAAGGTCACTGTCGCACGCGCTGACCAGTCCCGGCAGCTCACCGCACAGCTGGCCAGCAGGATCTTTGAAGCATGAAGACGGCAGCTCACCGAAATAGAAAATCGGGCAGACCTTTAAGCTCTCAAAGACTAGGGCATGACCCAGGCCGTCTAGAACCTCCACCGTCTTCTGTGTCGTCCTGACCAGCCACGTTCTCCACGGCGCGCCCATTCAATATGGAGTCCCCAAGTTCAGTTATTTTTTCTTGTAATCCCTGACAAAGATCAACCATGCGCGGGCCGTCATCTAAACAGTGCGGGGGTGACGAAGAGGTTGACTGAACTGAAAGAACTTCAGGTCAAGGGACAACGCTGCCATGTTATCGACCCTCAGGAGCAGTAGGTGAGGCTGTGGCTTCACTGGCTGTTACCCGGTGTCATGGACGAAGATGTCATCACAGTGTTGGCAGCATTCGGAAAAGTTACAGAGAAGACCTGGGAACGCTGGTGTGTAGAATGAGTAAGTGAGAAGAATTCGATGACCCGCACTGTTTTTATTAAGCCAAAAAGCGGTATAAAAACGGAGGAATTGACTCACTGGATACGAGTAGTCGGTGAATTAGCGACAGTAGTACCCCCGGTCGGCCTATGCAATGCCTGCATTCTAGTAGAACAGTTCATGTGCGTCGCGAGTGTAAGGTCCATGGTGCTGACACTGCCGGCATTTCTGATCCGTGGCCCTAGCACTGTGCTCGTCCAGGAGGTGATTCAGAAGGTGCCAGGACTAGCCATTTCTGATTTGACCATTGATGGACTCACAGAGCTCGTCCCATTGCTGTTTCCACAGTGTACGCAATATTGTTCGATTTCTTTTTTCAACTCTGATTTTTTTTTGCCGAAACCTACGGCTGTGCATTTGCTCCTTCCACAAAAACAATAGAGCTGCCTTGGCTTCGAGCAGGTGGGAAAGCCTACTGTTCATCTTCTCCGCATTCAAATCTGTCTTTATCTTCTTGGTGGCAGCGGTGGTATCTCTGCGAATGCCCTCGCACCATTTCTCAAAATTTTCAGGAGCACTGGCTCTTGTACCACAAATGCTGCGAAAAAGATCCCAGTCAACCACCGTGAACTCTCGGACTGTGCTACAGTCCACTATAATAGAATTTGGCAGAACATAGTGGTCACTGCTGAAATTCATGGTTGTGTTGGTGTAGTCTTTTCGACATTCTTGATGAAAGCAAGGTCTGTCATCATGTCTCTTGTCGCAGAGTTGCCTATCTACGTAGGGAAACCCTTATGTGTGAATAAAGTAAGGCCTAGTTCGGTGGCATCCTGCCAAAGGTCTCGACCCTTTTTTGGCTCGTACATGTATCTCCATAAGCCATGTAGGGCATTGAAGTCAGCAACTACGACGAGGGGCTGAGGACTCGCTAATTTATCTGCCCTCCCGAGCAACTTCTTGAATAGCTGGCACCTGCACCTGGAGTTACAATAGACATTAAAAAACACTGCTTTTCTGCTGATTGCGCCGTGGTGTGTCAAGCTGGTTCTCTACCGTTGTATATTCGATATTGCATCTGGCCAGCTTCAAGTTGTGGGCAACCTGTGTCAGCTTTTTACTTATTAGTGCGCAGACAGCTCGTCCCCCTGACTGGCCAGGGAGTACTCGGTAACTAGAAAGGGATGCTGCAGAGGCTGAAGTCTCTTGACGGGCTATAATTAGAGTTTTTTTTTCATTATTGCTCTCAAGTACTACTGTAGAAGTGCTCTTTTACCAGCGTACCCCCTGCTGTTTTACTGCCAACTACAGACAGTGCCTTTATCGTTATTCAATATGGATTCTGCTTTCATCACCACCCTTGGGGGTCAGTATAGCTCGAAAAATCTGCCACTCTTCGCGACTAACTCCTAGGCTATCAGGTGTAACGGAACGGCCATTTCTACGTCGCCAGGCGACTCCCCCTGTGGCGCAAAGTTAGGCTGTTTGAAGTGAATTTCTTGCGCAATGATGCGCTCGTTCATTTATCTTAGCCCCTTGACTGGCTCACTGAGTGCAGCTTGCATCTGCCTAATACTCTCCGTGAGGCTAGCTACACTTCAAGCCACCATTCCAATGCTCTCTGTTTTTGTAACCAGCGTTTTCTTAATCTCCTCGACTTGAGATTCCGTGTTCTTAAGCTTACTCACTACTACCCTGCGTTTGGTTGCCAAGGGCTCATCTCCAATGGGGGCAGGTACCGGCGTATCAGTGGTTTCGTCTTCAGTTTTGCTGTGCTCCATGCCCAGCATTCTTTTAGACTCCGCAGTTTCGTTTGTAGTCTCGCAAAACGTATCCTTGATCTCGGCGTTTTCCCCTTTCAATCATAATATCTCCGCGTCTCTAGCATGCTCTGGGGGCAAGTCGCATTGCATGGGTTGCTCGCCGTCATTACTACGAACCCTCTTGGCCTAGGGTAGGTCCGACTTGCTCCTGCTTT